CCTCATATCCGATTGTTAAGTTTATATCACAGATACAAGAAATAGACATCCAATTTCAATCAAACCAAATGGCTCCCGAAAAGTATGTGTGTAAAGTTTCGTTCGAAGAGTTCAAAAGCTGAGAGAGTAGTTTGAACTGAAAAAGTATATATATATTGTACTGATATATACTTAATGATATTTCCGACGTTTCCTTTAAAGCGTTACGAAAATCTTGACAAACCTTATATATCCTTTTCACATTTTTTCGTGTAAAGAGTATAAAAAGAGGGGCCCCTTAGTATGTTGGTAGGGGCCCCTTAGTTAGAATTTGCTTACAGGCCTAAAAAATGTAGTTACGCCACTGGTTTCTAATATAATTTGAATTTAAGATTAACTTAAGTAACGTATCTAATTAAATCAATAATTATATTGAAGTTCTCTTCTCGTAAATTAGTTTTTTAATTAATTTTTAAAATAAAATTAAACATTTAATAAAACTGTATGTGTTCTTATAATGCTCTTGAGTTATTTACTAATGACTGTAGTTTTGAGTTTTGAAAGCAAACATTTTAAATAATAATCAAAAGAGTTATATGTTAAAAAATTAGATTATATAGACTAACTTTTAAAAGTTTTAAAACAGTTTCATGTATAAATGATATAAATGACATATACAGCATGATTATATTTAAAAGAAGCTAAAACTAACAAATTTCATTAATTTTATAATAAACTTCACAAAGAAAATAATTGGATTTGACAGCAGATATGAAATAACTGGTGATAGGAAAAATGCTTATAGTACAATGTTCAAAAAGATAACACTTTACATATAAAACTAAAACTATGTATTTAAAGATTGCAATAAGCAGAAAACAGTCAACCAAGCAAGAACTTGAAATGCATAAACTGGCAACAACAATTGCAAAACATAATTAAATATTTATGCAAAATTTTATTTATAGAAAAATAATTAACTTTTATATTTTTGCTGATAAGATATAAGCATTTGATAACAGTTACAATTGTTATATCCTGTTGTACTGTAGCATAAGAAGCATTGAATAACAAGGGAATTCGTAATAGCAGCATCTGTGTCTTAAAGCGTATGTGTATATAAATAAATAGAGGAGCAAATTAAATTAGATTGTAATAAACTTTAAATGAAATATGTAGGCAAAATGTTAAAACACATAGGAGAGAAAAAATAAAGCTTAACACAAACTAAGTAACGGATCAGATCAGCAAACCAAACAAATCACATTTCTAAGAAAAAATATGTTGGAAAAATTTAAATTTTCCAGTTAAATGAAAACATTTATTAATGTTAAATAGTTTTATGCACAGTACAAAATAGATTTCAATAGGAAATCATTAACTTACAAGAAGTTGTTGTATTCCTTGTTGCTGATGCTACAACATAATTCGCAACAACAAATTGTAAACATATTACATTTAAACAAATTTTTTTTTGTTTCAATTTTGTTTTCACGTTCATGAATGAAAAAATAAAAAATATAAAAAAATATTAAAATTAACAAATTATTAAATTTTAAATTTCTAAAAAAAATGTAATTAATTTTAATATACTATCTTTTTTAAAATTACACAAATATACTAGAAAAAATACATATATCCTTATCATCCGCTGTCAATCCAATTAACTTGCTAACAAAAAGTAAAATAAATAAAGACAGCTATTAAAAATTATAAGCATTAAAAATATAAGGATATGGATATAATTATATATACATCTTTTTTTAACAAATACAAGTTTTATACTTTGGTTACATCAACCATTTTAGAATTACTATACATAATTTTATAGAAAGTATACATATATGACTAACATAAAATATATATAATTTATACATACAATATGCATTTATATAAATAT